TTAGGGCAGCCAGGGTTAGGGGAGGGAGGGTTAGGGGAGGGAGGGTTAGGGGAGGGAGGGTTAGGGCAGCCAGGGTTAGGGGAGGGAAGGTTAGGGGAGGGAGGGTTAGGGGAGGGAGGGTTAGGGCAGCCAGGGTTAGGGCAGCCAGGGTTAGGGGAGGGAGGGTTAGGGGAGGGAGGGTTAGGGCAGCCAGGGTTAGGGGAGGGAAGGTTAGGGGAGGGAGGGTTAGGGGAGGGAGGGTTAGGGCAGCCAGGGTTAGGGCAGCCAGGGTTAGGGGAGGGAGGGTTAGGGGAGGGAGGGTTAGGGCAGCCAGGGTTAGGGGAGGGAGGGTTAGGGCAGCCAGGGTTAGGGCAGCCAGGGTTAGGGGAGGGAGGGTTAGGGGAGGGAGGGTTAGGGGAGGGGAGGGAGGGTTAGGGGAGGGAGGGTTAGGGGAGGGGAGGGAGGGTTAGGGCAGCCAGGGTTAGGGGAGGGAGGGTTAGGGGAGGGAGGGTTAGGGCAGCCAGGGTTAGGGGAGGGAGGGTTAGGGGAGGGGAGGGAGGGTTAGGGCAGCCAGGGTTAGGGGAGGGGGGGTTAGGGGAGGGAGGGTTAGGGCAGCCAGGGTTAGGGGAGGGAGGGTTAGGGGAGGGAGGTGGCCTGGGCCCGGCCGGCGGTGTGACTGATAGCCCACCAAGGCCCCAGCAAGCGGAGACGGGGAAAGACTAACCCACCTTGACATGTGTAGGAAACCCTAGCAGGCTGAGCTAGCAGTCAGATAGGAACCACCGGAGGAGCCAAGCTGCGCTGCGCCGTAACGCGTCCCTTTTAACTAAATCTGTTTAGATGAGCGCAGTGCGGAGGAATGCCTCCATATACCTCCTGGAAACCGCACACACAACTGCATTAAAATGACATCGGCCAAAAATGCATGGGAATTGAGTATGAGGCAAATGCGCTAACATATAGCAAACGTAGCACTGCCAACTAAAGTTCTCTCACTGAGCTTTGATTCTAAATGTGTGTGTGGGAACAAGTTAATAAGGATAGACAACGGCAAAGTGGCTTTAAAAATGACTTAAGAGGGTTTGCATTGACTAGTAGACATGAAAATGAAGGTGAGGCATCGTAAGATAAAAGGAGGTAAGAGAATAGAGAGAACCCGTGGCGAGGAAGGGAGGAGAGAAGAGGGGGAGGAAGGGAGGAGAGAAGAGGGGGATGAGGGAGGAGAGAAGAGGGGGAGGAGGGAGGAGAGAAGAGGGGGAGGAAGGGAGAAAGTAAGTGGAACATGTAGAAGCACTCTCTCAGCCCTCGGCTTGGCTGAGAAGAGTGATGAGAGAAATCACTTTTGGGGATTCTAACTCTCCCCACTGAGCGAAAACAATGAATCGGCTGGAGTTTCAACAAACAATGCTGTACATGACAGTGGGTCTCTCTCCATCTCTCCATCTCTCCTGCGCGGAGAGGAGAAGAGAGAGAGAGAAAAAAGGGATTGGAGCTTGCACGCCACAGTGGAACAGTGAAGCTGTAAATATTCCTGAGCCCAGTGTTGCGTCCCAAATGGCTTTTCCCTATAGGGAAAAGGGTGCCTTTTGGGACTGAACCCAGGGCTGTATCTCAGGAGGAGTAACACAGGCCAGGGCCAGCCCAGGAGGATCTGCAGCCCCGCTCCGTTGCGCCCACACACACACACACACACACGCGCGCACACACACACAGTCATATGTGCGCAGGCATACACAGACATACATGCATGTGGCCATCTGCGTAACACACACACACACACACACACACACACACACTGCATCCATCCATCCAACATTCAGCTTTCAACAGCTGGGTCTTCCCCTCACTGACACTGACTCAAATAGTTGTCAAACAACAGACACAACCATTTTGTATCCTCTGGTTTTTGGACCTAACATCCAATTACTCATCTGTTAGTACTGTAATTCTAGACCTAATATTAGTCAATATTTGACATGGACAAATAAATACAAATCCTCCTGACAGTGTATAACAATACCCTGGGGGTGTATAAAGAGGTTAACAGCACCACATTGCGTCCCAAATTGCACCCTATTCCCTGCTCTGGTCAAAAGTAGTGCACTACATAGGGATTAAGGTGCCATTTGGGACACATCACCAAAACTCATGGAGTGCTAAGCAGAGACAACACCCTGGGGAGAAATAGGAATCCTTTAGACAGAACATGTCAACACACACAGTTTTCACATTAGTCTGTTAGCACTGATTCAAAAGCACATTCTATTGATCCTGAAGAAGTCAGGTGTTGAAAACTCTAAAAATATATTTACCTTACCAGCACAGCGCTATTCAAGGGTACAAATTGAAATAATACGAACAATATATTTTTGGGTAAATAGAAACAGTTTATAAAAATTAACAAATGTTCCTGTAAAGATATCAGACCAGGGAACACATAACAAAATAAAATAAAAATAAAATGTATTATAAGAAACTGAACAGTTGAAAGTGATATTTTTTTGGGATTTCCATTTGCACATACAGTAGACCTACAGAGGGCCACCAGGCTGCGTCATCAGAGGGCCACCAGGCTGCGTCATCAGAGGGCCACCTGGCTGCGTCATCAGAGGGCCACCTGGCTGCGTCATCAGTGCCACCAGGCTGCGTCATCAGAGGGCCACCAGGCTGCGTCATCAGAGGGCCACCAGGCTGCGTCATCAGAGGGCCACCAGGCTGCGTCATCAGAGGGCCACCTGGCTGCGTCATCAGAGTGCCACCAGGCTGCGTCATCAGAGGGCCACCTGGCTGCGTCATCAGAGTGCCACCTGGCTGCGTCATCAGAGGGCCACCTGGCTGCGTCATCAGAGGGCCACCAGGCTGCGTCATCAGAGGGCCACCAGGCTGCGTCATCAGAGGGCCACCAGGCTGCGTCATCAGAGGGCCACCAGGCTGCGTCATCAGAGGGCCACCAGGCTGCGTCATCAGAGGGCCACCTGGCTGCGTCATCAGAGGGCCACCAGGCTGCGTCATCAGAGTGCCACCAGGCTGCGTCATCAGAGTGCTGTGGAGCGAGAGAGAGCTCACCTGCGCTGTCTTGTCTTTGCCCTGCTAACACCTCGCTCGCTCACTGAAACACACACAGCAGTAATTCAATGTTAGCTTAACCAAACCATTCATAGGCATTTGAAAAGGCGTATGTGAAGCGTAAAGCCAATGGAATGTAAACAATGATTCTGTCACTTTAAAAAGGTTCTGTCATCCTCTATGATTATCTCTTCACAGGGCGGCAGGTAGTCTAGCGGTTAAGAGCAGTGGGCCAGTAACTGAAAGGTCGCTGGTTCGAATTCCTGAGCCATCAAGGTGGAAAAATCTGTCGTTCTGCCCTTGACCAAGGCAGTTAACCCCCAATAACAACTGCTCTCCGGGTGCCACGGACGTCGATTAAGGCAGCCCCCTGCACCGCTCTGATTCAGAGGGGTTGAGTTAAATGTGGAAGACACATTTTGGTTGAATGCATTCAGTTGTGCTGACTAGTTATCCTGTTTATGATGTGTGTGATCATATAACACTAGAAGATTATCTTACATTTTAGTCATTTAGCAGACGCTCTTATCCAGAGCAACTTACAGTTAGTGAGTGCATACATTTTCATACTGGCCCCCCGTGGGAAACGAACCCACAACCCTGGCATTGCAAGCGCCATGCTCTACCAACTGAGCTACACGGGACTGTAGCTCATCTTCTGAGTAATTGTTTCATTTATATGGTATATAGACACACAATATGAATCTGTATATTCAGCCACCTTTAAAATGACCCTGAAATGACAATACTTTGAAAGGTTGATATCTGGCTGAAAAGCATTAACTTGACAAATTAATTCATTACAAGAGGTAGACATTAGGGAAGATGGGAGGGAAACCAGGGAAAGAAACAGCTTTCTATGTTGGCCTAAACTTTTCCTTGTTGCCCTGATTTCTATAATTGGTCAGGCAGGACACCAGTGGTTGGGGTGGTTGAGTGGGGTTTGTAGAATAGGTCCCTCATGTCAAACACATGACAGTAATCCCATTAAAATGCAAGAATTCTTCCTCTGCTAATCATGTTCATGTTATGGAAAAATGTGCAAGGAGTTTTCCAACTTCAGTTGAAAGACATTGGGAGAAAGACATCTCTCTGTTGGCTTAACCTGGGTTCAAATAATATTTTGAAATATTTAAAATATGGAGAGTTTGGCTTTAGCCTTACTGGAGTACCAGATTGGCGGGATTTGCCCTTTTGGGACTTTTCTATTGGCTCCATTACAACAGAAAATCTTACTCAAGCACAGTGTAGGTATTTGAAATGATTTCAAATACTATTTGAACCCAGGTCTGGGTTTAACAAAAGAGAGAGGACTAGTCCAGGACTTATTCAGACTAGACTGGTGGGGATCTGGGGAGTGACTTCCAGTCCCAGATCTCTTTGTACTCTACAAAATGACAATTCCCATGAGTGGCAGAGTCAGACTGGGTATTAAGTAGAACCTGCATGGGAGTTCAAAGCAGGCAAGTACATGCTGAGAAGAAACATTAAAGCAGAACTCAACCCATGTACGGAACAGAGAGCTCAACAGAGGACTAGAGGATAAACTAATGAAATAGGTCTGCTTGACAAGGTTCATAATGGCATTGATACTTTTCATTTTTGCGAGACAAGACAGATTTCTAAGACAAAATCATTTGCATTTTGATTGATTCAACACCCTAATAGCTAAAAGCAATCAAGAATTGCCAAAAATCGAGATGATTGCCTTGACAAAAAAGTGATTTTAGGGGGAGCATTACTACAACTAACAACAAAGGATATTCAGCTATACCAAACACTAAATATGCCAAATAACCAGTGCTTATGAAAAGACTTCCTTTGACACCTCATAGAATTCCATCCCTGGTCTCCAACACAGAGGACCTGATGACTGTGAGATAAAAAAAAGTTGGCCAGGAACTGACTGTTTGTACCCACGAGCCACCGCCACTTCAAATATTTATTTGATTCTGTCAAAGTGGTGGGCTGAACAATGGGAACTTTGACAATTGGGGAACGTGAATTCGCTTGTTTAAGAGCTTTAGCACTGCAGTCTCCTGTCCCGAGCGGGCTGTTGATTTGACAAAGTCCTGTTTTGTATTTCTTTCCTCTGCCAGAGTGGGCTTCCTGCAGGAGGTCAGATTCAACTGATGGTGACCCCCCCTTTTCCTATGAGGGGCTCTGAGCCGGGCATGCCACGAGCCACTAGACCCACCCTCCTCAACTCCTCTGCCCGCCACACGCAGGCAGGCCCTGCCTTGTGCCACTCCATCCCCTCTCGACCCCTTCCTCATCCCTGTTTCGTCCCATCCATCCCGCTGCACATCGCCCAGGTCAGGACCACCGCTGTCGGACGCTTCCTGCATGAGCCACCGGTACAGACCAGAGATCACATCTCAGGGGATCTCTACAGAATCGGCCCTCTGACAACAATTGAGTTTCCCTTTTCGGGAGAGGGGGGCAGGAGAGGATAGGAATGTAGCCATCACAGTAATGTCTCCTTTGTTAAAGACATCTTCTGAATTCAATGGGCTCAATCTCATCTGTGAATTGGTTTTACAGAGGACGGAGAGGCTGTTTTACAGAGGACGGAGAGGCTGTTTTTTTGAGGATGGAGAGGCTGTTTTATATAGGATGGAGGCTGTGAGAAAAATGTCCAGAATATCCAGCTACTGTATGTCCTCACTATGCTTAAGACTGCTGATAAAATTACAATAATATGGAATAGTGTGCCATTTGGGACTGAACCCCAGAGGAGTAGTGTTTCCCTGTCAGCAACAGGGGCTCTGGTAAACAGTAGTGCACTATCAAGGAAATAGGGTGCTAATTTGGATGCACCCTCTGTATTCCTGGCGGCAAACAGGCAGCCCTACCTCTCCCCCTGCCAAGGACCTCTCAGACTCCACACTGACATCAGCCCAAAGACTCCATACTGCACTGACATCAGACCCCATTCTGAACTGACATCAGACCTCTCAGACCCCATTCTGCACTGACATCAGACCTCTCAGACTCCATACTGCACTGACACCAGACCTCTCAGACCCCATTCTGCACTGACACCAGACCTCTCAGACCCCATTCTGCACTGACACCAGACCTCTCAGACCCCATTCTGCACTGACATCAGACCCCATACTGCACTGACATCAGACCTCTCAGATCTCATACTGCACTGACATCAGACCTCTCAGACCCCATTCTGCACTGACACCAGACCTCTCAGACCCCATTCTGCACTGACACCAGACCTCTCAGACCCCATTCTGCACTGACACCAGACCTCTCAGACCCCATTCTGCACTGACACCAGACCTCTCAGACCCCATTCTGCACTGACACCAGACCTCTCAGACCCCATTCTGCACTGACACCAGACCTCTCAGACCCCATTCTGCACTGACACCAGACCTCTCAGACCCCATTCTGCACTGACACCAGACCTCTCAGACCCCATTCTGCACTGACACCAGACCTCTCAGACCCCATTCTGCACTGACACCAGACCTCTCAGACCCCATTCTGCACTGACACCAGACCTCTCAGACCCCATTCTGCACTGACACCAGACCTCTCAGACCCCATTCTGCACTGACACCAGACCTCTCAGACCCCATTCTGCACTGACACCAGACCTCTCAGACCCCATTCTGCACTGACACCAGACCTCTCAGACCCCATTCTGCACTGACACCAGACCTCTCAGACCCCATTCTGCACTGACACCAGACCTCTCAGACCCCATTCTGCACTGACACCAGACTCCACACTGCACTAACAGAACTCTGACTCTACGTATTTACACCTTTATAACCCTTTATAATATAAAAACATAAGGAATCACTAAACAGACAAAGGCCTCATCATTGTTAACACTTTAGTGAAGAGTACACTACAGGTCAGAGTGACATGCTGAGTTTCCTGTGGGGACAATAAAGTTGAATTGAGAACCTTTAAGCCATTTAAAGTCCCCTTCAGTATTGTTCCAATACTCGTTAGACAGTTTTCCTTTGTCTGACAGTGTGTGGATATTGGCACAACAGCCTTCTCTCTCTATGACTCTGGGGTTACGTCCCAAATGGCACCCTAGGGCTCTGGTCAAAAGTAGTGCACTATATAGGGAATAGGGTGCCATTTGGGATGCACACTGTCTTTGAAGTGGCCCCATCAGTCTTCCCAGGACCATCCTCCAGGTCTCAGGGAGAGAGTGAGCAGGGAGAACAGGAGGAAACTGGACTGTGCCCACAGGTACTGACCCTGAACCCAACAATACAGTTGATGATGACTACACTCCAGGACACAGTTCCTGTCTGCAAAATCATAACTTAATCAATGATCTCCTACAGTTTGTAGAAAATACATTTTATGGTGTCTTTTGAACCAAATTCAAAAAATACAACACATTTCAGCTGAACATTCCCATAAAAACCGATGTGCGGTACAATATTCTAACTACCAGACAGGCGATTTCTAAACAAGTTCAATATTCAGTATTTATTTCACAACAATAAAACACATAAGTAGCTTTTAGTTCATTCATTAACATTTCTACAATATAGGGACAGCAGAGGTGTACGATGGCTGGTGCACAAAGACGTCCCTTCCTGTCCAACGAGGTCTGATGACGGTGGGTGTGCTGTACTGGACAAGACAGCAGGCATGATGGGATAGGCTCTGGAGGACTGCATTCTGGTGTAGGGTGAAGTTGTCCCTAGTTTTGCATCCCCCCCCCCCTCCCCTCCTCCTAATGGTTAAGGTTAGGATTGGGGCAGGGAAGCTGACCCTTTACCAGCTCCAGAAGAAGAGTCGGCTGCCGTGCTTGGCTGGCTGCAGCTGGCCCTCGATCACAGGGTTGGGCTCTGGCCGGGGCCTCGAGTGGTAAGCATTCTCAGGAAGGGGACGAGTGGTGTCCACCTTTGTCACCTGAAGAGAAACATGAGCCGAAACGTTAAATAAATCCAAAGAGAAGAGGAGACAGGGAGCAAGCAGACCGGTTCGTAGGTCTATACTAAGAACACAAGTGAATGTTTTGCTTGTAAAAGAGAAAGCATATTAGGTTCAATGAAGATCTGTGTCAACAGGCTTAAAGCGGTTTTCAAAATGTGAGTAAGTACTGTTTACCTAGCATTTGCACCGTTAATGGAGGACTGAGAGGCAAAGGGAGAAAACCAACCCGCAGACAAGCGGGTAGTATAGGTAAGAGAATGGGAGCGGGTTATGCACCATAACATCAGGAGCTGGACAAAATGAAAGTCCAATACATAGAATCACTGTTTTGTTGTTCCCAAACATAATCTTATAATTGAATCACCTAAAGCTTTATTTTAGTATGTGAATAAAAGCACCTCCTCCCAGCTACCCACTGCACTGAGGCTAGGAAACACTGTCACCACCGATAAATCTACGATAATCGAGAATTTCAATTAGCATTTTGCTACGGCTGGCCGGCCATGCTTTCCACCTGGCTACCCCTACCCCGGCCACCAGCTCTGCACCCTCAGCTGCAACTTGCCCATGCCCCCCCCGCTTCTCCTTCACCCAAATTCAGATAGCTGATGTCCTGAAAGAGCTGCAAAATCTGGACACCTACAAATCAGCTGGGCTAGACAATCTGGACCCTTTCTTTCTAAAATTAGCTGCCGAAATTGTCGCAACCCCTATTACTAGCCTGTTCAACCTCTTTCGTATCGTCTGAGATCCCCGGAGATTGGAATGCTGCCGTGGTCATCCCCCTCTTCAAAGGGGGTGACACTCTAGATCCAAACTGTTACAGACCTATATCCATCCTGCCCTGCCTTTTGAAAGTTTTTGAAAGCCAAGTTAACAAACAGATCACGGACCACTTCGAATCCCACCGTACCTTCTCCGCTATGCAATCTGGTTTGAGCTGGTCATGGGTGCACCTCAAGCACGCTCAAGGTCCTAAACGATATAATAACCGCGATTGAGAAAAGACAGTACTGTGCAGCCGTCTTCATCGACCTGGCCAAGGCTTTTGACTCTGTCAATCACCGCATTCTTATTGGCAGACTAAATAGCCTTGGTTTCTCAACTGACTGCCTCGCCTGGTTCACCAACTACTTTTCAGATAGAGTTCAATGTTTTCAAATCGGAGGGCCTGTTGTCTGGACCTCTGGCCGTCTCTATGGGGGTGCCACAGGGTTCAATTCTTGGGCCGACTCTATTCTCTGTGTATATCAATGATGTTGCTCTTGCTGCTGGTGACTCTCAGATCCACCTCTACGCAGACGACACCATTTTGTATACATCTGGCCCTTCATTGGACACTTAACAAACCTCCAAACAAGCTTCAATGCCATACAACACTCCTTCCGTGGCCTCCAACTGCTCTTAAACACTAGTAAAACTAAATGCATGCTCTTCAATCGAACGCTGCTTGCACCCGCCCGCCTGACTAGAATCACTACTCTCGGTGGGTCTGACTTAGAATATGTGGACAACTACAAATACCTAGGTGTCTGGTTAGACTGTAAACTCTCCTTCCAGACTCACATTAAGCATCTCCAATCCAAAGTTAAATCTAGAATCGGCTTCCTATTTCGCAACAAAGCCTCCTTCACTCATGCTGCTAAACAAGCCCTCGTAAAACTGACTATCCTACCGATCCATGACTTCGGCGATGTAATTTACAAAATAGCTTCCAACACTCAACTCAGCAAATTGGATATAGTCTATCACAGTGCCATCCGTTGTCACCAAAGCCCCATATACTACCCACCATTGTGACCTGTACGCTCTCGTTGGCTGGCCCTCACTACATATTCGTCGCCAAACCCACTGGCTCCAGGTCATCTATAAATCACTTCTAGGCAAATCCCCACCTTATCTTAGCTCATTGGTCACCATAGCAACACCCACCCGTAGTATGCGCTCCAGCAGGTATATCTCACTGGTCATCCCAAAAGCCAACACCTCCTTTGGCCGCCATTCCTTCCAGTTCTCTGCTGCAAATGACTGGAACGAACTACAAAAATCTCTGAAGCTGGAGACACTTATCTCCCTCATTAACTTTAAGCATCAGTTGTCAGAGCAGCTTACCGATCACTGCACCTGCACACAGCCCATCTGTAATTAGGCCATCCAACTACCTCATCCCCATATTGTTATTTATTTTGCTAATTTGCACACCAGTATCTCTATTTGCACATCTATCACTTGCTGTTTTTAAATCGCACTGTTTTGCTTTATCTTGGCCAGGTGGCAGTTGTAAATGAGAACTTGTTCTCAACTGGCTTACCTGGTTAAATAAAGGTGAAATAAAATAAATAAAAATGTCTGGGAGGTTCCGTGTGGCTCAGTTGGTAGAGCATGATGCTTGTAACGCCAGGGTTGTGGGTTCCGATTCCCACGGGGGACCGGTACAAAGAAAAAGTATATGTATGTATGTGTCCACAAAATGTGTGGACTCACTGCTGTAAGTCGCTCTGGATAAGAGCATATGCTAAATGAGCCGACTTTTCCTTCTGGTAATAGTTTAAAGGACCTCACCTTGGACAGTTCTCCCAGGTTGGGTCTCTCCCAGCCCAGCTTGTCCTGCACACAACTGTCAAAGGCCTGCTGCTGTTGGCGGCAGTGACGCAGCTCCGCCAGGTTGGAGTAGTCCAGGCAGGTCCAGTACTCTGTGAAGGACTCAGCACAGCTCCCCTTTATCTGCCTGGAGGAAACATCTGATTAGGACACGTTGTTTTCTAAGGTGACAGTTAAGACAGAATCACTTCCCCAGGCATCTATTTACTTACTTAAGCCCTTGGTTCTTTTAAGGAGCATAGGCTGTTGACGAATGTCCCCCATCTCACTCAGGCAACTGAAGTGAGTTCTAAATGTATCACTTTCCAAACATGCTGGACAAGAGTTCGCTTTCTTACGGTCAAATTAACACTTGAGTACATACTACATAATATTATGATCCTTGATCCCAATTTTTTTTATTACAAAACATTATCCAGTCCAGATCCATGTACTACTATCTAGCTAGCCCTATGTTTATTGACATTTGTAATGTGGGTAAGGTACCACTTCAGATAGGTGTAGGACCTCCAAAAGCATAAATAACCAGGTGTAATTACAAGTTTGCCAAAACCTTGTACCATTACAATAATGCTGTGTTTTACCATTCTCAGTAACCCTGTTTACATCTGGGAGCAGAACTGTTTATTAGTTCCTGATTTGGAAGTGGTTTTATTTGTGGACCTTACAGAGCAAGCCTGCATGTCAAACCCTGCCCAATTCAGGGACAGATACCAGTCACTGCAGAGGTATGTGCCTGTGTGTCCGGCATCAATAGGTGTTATAATTGCACAGCGGCCTTCTGTAAACACAGCCGCCCGCCATGCCCCACAGTGAGACAACCCATGAAAACCATATGCCATGGCCGTCTCAGTCACCAGATCTCAACCCAATTGAACACTTATGGGAGATTCTGGAGCGGCGCCTGAGATAGCGTTTTCCACCACCATCAACAAAACACCAAATTATGGAATTTCTTGTGGAGGAATGGTGTCGCATCCCTCCACGAGTTCCATTAAAGCTGCTCTGGCTCGATGTGGCCCAACGCCCTATTGAGACACTATGTTGGCGTTTCCTTTATTTTGTCAGTTACCTGTATATCCCATGTCTGACAGACAGTATATAGTTAGCCTACCACTCCATTGACTCGTTGGTCAGTTGCAGAACAGAAGTGGAAAGGAAAACATGTGCTTTAGGTTTAACCTAAATTGAAATATCTTCACCCTGTTGTAAAGGCAATATCAAAACACCCAGGTTGAGGCTTTCATCGGCTGAAAACTGTTGACAAGACGATGAATCAAAATGGCAGACAGCGAAGTTCAGTAAAGGCTGCTAGATGTGAATCAGCCGTTTCATACAGTAAACATACAGCAGAATCCTGACAAGGCTTGACATCTTTTCAATTTCTGTTGTAAAAACACATGCAGGCTGAAAATCTTATACAGTACATTCGGAAAGTATTCAGACTAATTTACTTTTTCCACATTTTGTTTTACGTTACAGCCTTATTCTAAAATTGATTAAATTATTTATTTTTCATCAGCAATCTACACACAATACCCCATAATGACTAAGCGAAAACAGGTTTTTAGAATTTTTTGCAAATGTATAAAACAGAAATACCTTATTTACCTAAGTATTCAGACCCTTTGCTATGAGACTCGAAATTGAGCTCAGGTGCATCCTGTTTCCATTGATTATCCTTGAGATGTTTCTACAACTTGATTGGACTCCACCTGTGGTAAATTCAATTGATTGGACATGATTTGGAAAGGCACACACCTGTCTATATAAAGGTCCCACAGTTGACAGTGCATGTCAGAGCAAAAACCAAGCCATGAGGTCGAAGGAATTCTCCGTAGAGCTCAGAGACAGGATTGTGTCGAGGCACCAAAACATTTCTGCAGCATTGAAGGTCCAAGAACACAGTGGCCTCCATCATTCTTAAATGGAAGAAGTTTGGAACCACCAAGACTCTTCCTAGAACTGGCCGCCCGGCCAAACTGAGCAATCGGGGGAGAAGGGCCTTGGTCAGGGAGGTGACTAAGAACCCAATGGTCACTCTGACAGAGCTCCAGATTCCCTCTGTGGAGATGGGAGAACCTTCCAGAAGGACAACCATCTCTGCAGCACTCCCACCAATCAGACCTTTATGGTAGAGTGGCCAGACGGAAGCCATTCCTCAGTAAAAAAAAGGCACATGACAGCCCGCTTGGAGTTTGCCAAAAGGCACCTAAAGGACTCTCAGACCTTGAGAATCAAGATTCTCTGATCTGATGAAACCAAGATTTAACTCTTTGGCCTGAATTCCAAGCGTCACATCTGGAGGAAACCTGGCACCATCCCTACGGTGAAGCATGGTGGTGGCAGCATCATGCTGCTGGGATGTTTTTCAGCGTCAGGGACTGGGAGACTAGTCAGGATCGAGGGAAAGATGAACGGAGCAAACTACAGAGAGATCCTTGATGAAAACCTACTCAGGACCTCAGACTGGGGCGAAGGTTCACCTTCCAACAGGACAATGACCCTAAGCACACAGCCAAGATAACGCATGAATGGCTTCGGGACGAGTCTCTGAATGTCCTTGACATCCAACCTGACAGAGCTTGAGAGGATCTGCAGAGAATAATGGGAGAAACTCCCCAAATACAGGTGTGCCAAGTTTGTAGCGTCATACCCAAGAAAACCCGAGGCTGTAATCGCTGCCAAAAGGTGCTTCAACAAAGTACTGAGTAAAGGGTCTGAATCCTTATGTAAATGTCATATTTCAGTTTTTTTTATTTTTATAATACATATGCAAAAATTTCTAAAAACCTGTTTTTGCTTTGTCATTATGAGGGGAAGCAATACTTTTATCCATTTTAGAACAAGGCTGTAACGTAATTTTTTTTGGGAAAAAGTCAAGAGGTCTGAATAATTTCCGAATGCACTGTATCATGTAATCACAACAATCACAACCATCACAGGCTCTGTCGTAGCCGACCGGGAGACCCATGGGGCGGCGCACAATTGGCACAGCGTCGTCCAGGGTAGGGGAGGGAATGGCCGGCAGGGATGTAGCTCAGTTGGTAGAGCATGACGTTTGCAACGCCAGGGTTGTGGGTTCGATTCCCACGGGGGGGGCAGTATGAAAAAAAAAATATATATATATATATATATATATATAAAAAAAATAATTATAATAAAAGAATGTATGCACTCACTAACTGTAAGTCGCTCTGGATAAGAGCGTCTGCTAAATGACTAAAATGTAAATGTAATGTAATGTCCTTAATGATGCTAAAACAGCTTTAAAGTTGCTGAAGTAAAACAGACCAACCTTTTTCATTTGGGTGTTTAATAGTCAGTCAACACTATGATTACCTACCTGAAGAAGTTAAGTGCACACTCGTTGACTTTCCTCCCTTCGTTCAGACACTTCCTAGGGTCCTTCTCCTCCCAGCGACAGAGCATGAACTCCTTGTTGGCCTTGTCACACTGTGAGCCATAGTGGTGGGCAGCTCCTTTCAGCACTGCAGAAGACACACTGATCTACACAGGCAGAATGAGACACTCTTCAGACACTATTCAACACAGACACACATACTGTATATAGACACGTATATAGCCTACTTCAATATCAAACATTAAACAGCCTAATCCCTAATATAATACGAAAGATAAAAAGCAATGGTGAACATTGTCAGCTATGCCATCTTTGAAATAAAACTAACTTTTTGGGAGCATAAATCTGGTTTACTGGTATTTGGAGTGGGGAGATCAGTTAAAGTACATCACTGTTTTTGATATTGGCGATCAGAAGGGCAACAGTTCCTATTTCTTACAGACCTAATTTTATTCAGTTCAAAACTAATTGTTCCGAATGCAAATAACATTATATTGACGTATTTAGACACGCCCCAAAGACCAACTATTCTTGTTGTAGGCCAACTGCAGTTGCCCTGCAAATGCACTCAAGGACAGGCTGAATATCATAACAGATTGACGGCTAGTCAGAAATACATTTTGATGTGAGCCAACTTGAGGGAGGGGAATTCAATGAAACCAGGTAGCTAGCTAGCTAGAACGCATAAAATAACGCATTAAATCACTTCCCATGATAATATAGCTAGCAAGCTTGCTAGGTAGGGACCTTGCATTGTAGGGTATCACGACATGGTTTTTAGTAAAAGCTGTAGTTAGCTATGTCCCAAACAGAGACTGCTGTACATAAATTAAAAACTAGCTACCTAGTTAACGTTTGTTAGTTAACTTTTTACTCCCAGATCTCAGCAAGTAGTTGGCGTTATCACTATCTATGCAATACTTTGCAATCAACACGGAACCTAGCAACCTTGTTCGAAAACCAGTATTTAACAAGCTTGCAACCTTGTTCGAAAGCCAGTATTTAGCAAGCTTGCTAGCTAACAGCAGCCTGCTATGCTGGCTTGCTATGCTAGCTACAATTGGATTGCAGCTGATAGCTAGCTAGCATTGCTAACCAGATTGTTTCTCAACGTCATGATTCGTTCTTACCTCCTCAACATTCAAGTCATTCAAAGTGGGAACCTCCACCGAACCCGGCATGGTTCGACTTCTGTCAGATGAATCAAAATGAAAGACTAATGTAATAAACTCAAGGTACTCGTCTAGCTACAGGACGAGGCAGCACAAGGAAGGTCAGTGAGTGCATTCTTCTTCTGTGGATTTTATGGCGGACTACATCCAAAAGTTGTATTGCCGCCACCAACTGGACGGTTTGAAATCACAAAATATATCAAATAAAAAATAAATCCAAACTGACTTACTCCACCCTAATAAAAATAGTATATTGCCAAAACAAACAAAACTCCCATATCTTCCTTCTTTTAGTTCTCCATATCTCTCTTCTCAGGCTCTAGGACCTGAGAGAGTGATACGTCTTTTGCCAATATTCCATGTAACAAAATAAATCCATACATAATAGGGAAACTAACTAAATCCACCCAAATAAAATAGTACATTGACAAAACAAAACTCACGTCTTCCTTCTTTTAAATCTCCATATCTCCCTTCTCAGTCTCTAGGGCCTGAGATGGTGGTACGGCTTTTGACAATATTCCATGTAACTCTTTTGCCGAGAAATCTTTCAGCCCCAGGAACCGTTCCGATGCAACCACAATGATTTCTATCTTCCTAGATATTTTCTCCACCTTGGCAGTGCCATTAACCGCTGCTGCATTGGAAATGCTCTGTACAACTCTAACTTTGGCCACCTCACTTTCTTTCACCCTTGTTGGACATTCAATGGACTACAAAAGGAAAACCAGCCACGTCGCCGACACAGGCGTCTCGCTTCCAGACAAGCTAAACACCTTCTTCACCCGCTTTGAGGATAACACAGTGCCACTGACGAGGCCCACTACCAAGGACGGTGGCCTCTCCTTCTCCATGGCCAACGTGATTAAGACATTTAAGCCTGTTAACCCCCGCAAGGCTGCCAGCCCAGACAGCATCCCTAGCCGCGTCCTCAGAGCATGCTCAGACCAGCTGGCTGGTGTGTCTATGGACATATTCAATCTCTCCCTTTCCCAGTCTGCTGTTCCCACATGCTTCAAGATGGCCACCATTGTTCCTGTACCCAATAACGCAAAGGTAACTGAACTAAATGACTATCGCCCTGTAGCACTCACCTCTGTCATCATGAAGTGCTTTGAGAGACTAGTCAAGGATCATATCACCTCTACCTTACCTGTCACCATAGACCCACTTCAATTTGCTTACCGCCCCAATAGATCCACAGACAATGCAATTGCCATCACACTGCACACTGCCCTATTCCATCTGGACAAGAGGAATACCTATGTAAGAATGCTGTTTATTGAGTATAGCTCAGCATTCAACACCATATTACCCTCCAAGCTCATCATCAAGCTCGAAGCCCTGGGTCTGAACCCTGCCCTGTGCAACTGGGTCCTGGACTTCCTGACGGGCCACCCCCAGGTGGTGAAGGTAGGAAACAACATCTCCACTTTGCTGATCCTCAACACTGGGGCCCCACAAGGGTGCGTGCTCAGCCCCCTCCTGTACTCCCTGTTCACCCATGACTGCGTGGCCAAGCACGCCTCCAACTCAATCATCAAGTTTGCAGACGACACAACAGTAGTAGGCTTGATTACCAACAATGACGAGACTGCCTACAGGGAGGAAGTGAGGGCTCTGGGAGTGTGGTGCCAGGAAAATAACCTCTCACTCAACGTCAACAAAACAAAGGAGATGATCGTAGACTTCAGGAAATAGCAGAGGGTGCACCCCCCAATCCACATCGACGGGACCACAGTGGAGAAGGTAGAAAGCTTCAAGTTCCTTGAAGGATCCGAGGACGGATTGCTGGACTTTGTATCCAAAGGATGCAACAGGTTGTCAAATGTGATCCTGATACGGGGATGGAAATAGCATCATTAAACCTTATTATTAACCCTGTCTTACCTTAGCTCACTGGTCACCATAGCAACACCCACCCGTAGTCTGCGCTCCAGCAGGTATATCTCACTGGTCATCCCCAAAGCCAACACCTCCTTTGGCCGCCATTCCTTCCATTTCTCTGCTGCCAATGACTGGAACGAACTGCAAAAATCTCTGAAGCTGGAGACTCTTATCTCCCTCACTAAATTTAAGCGTCAGTTGTCAGAGCAGCTTACCGATCACTGCACCTGTACACAGCCATTCTGAAATTAGCCCACCCAACTACCTCATCCCCATATTGTTATTTATTTTGCTAATTTGCACCCCAGTATCTCTATTTGCACATCATCTTTTGCACATCGATCATTCCAGTGTTAATACGAAATTGTAACTATTTTGCACTATGGCCTATTTATTGCCTTACCTCCATAACTTACTACATTCGCACACACTGTATATATATTTTCTGTTGTATTTTTGACTTTATGTTTTGTTTACCCCATATGTAACTCTGTGTTGTTGTTTTTATCGCACTGCTTTGCTTTATCTTGGCCAGGTCGCAGTTGTAAATGAGAACTTGTTCTCAACTGGCTTACCTGGTTAAATAAAGGTTAAATAAAATAAAATAAAATAAAATTAGTGATAAGCTGACCATTAGACGTGAATCTGTCTTCACCGTGGCTGAGGCAAGGGATCTGGTCAGGGACTTGATAGAGGAACCGATTGCCCATGCTAGCCTTACTCGAAATGTAGTGATCAGTGTTGGTGTTCTGTTGGCGGGCAATTGGCCCAACGAAGTCAGGGTAGTGGCAGATAACGACGGGAATGTGACTTTCACTGCACAGAGGTGGGCCATGTGGATGGATGCCATTCTCAACCAAAATGCTCATTCCTCTGGGGCCAACCCGCTAACCCCGGATCGTGCAGCCGGATGTTGGAGAATTGCACCCATGGCTGTTTCATGGCCTTTTAGATATGGATATGACAAGCGGAGCACCAACCGCTGCAGTCTCCCGTGACGTAGTGGAAACTCTTGCCCTAATAATGGTTCAACAACCTGCAGCTACACGGACCATTCAGCAATCCTCAACCTGATGGTGTTGGCTATCACAATCCTGACGTCTGGAGGATCTATCACTCCGGCTAAGCTCAGGAGGACCCTGAATCAAGCAAGCAGGGAGATGGGTTTTGAGGAGATAGCCTTACCAGAGACAATGTGCTCAAGGGGTGGGACTTCCTGGCACGAGTTTGGACAGGCCAACAGACTGGGCAGGATTTCCACCAACTGTACCATGATGTAGGTGCCACTGTGGGTCAAGTCTCAATGAGGCTGAGGATCATGTGCGAGGGAACAACCGCAACACGGCTTACCTTAACCTCTTTTATCTGGGGATTCAGCTGCTGATTCAAGCTGGCGGGGTGAGGTCCTTGCGCACCTACCAGGGATTTGAAACCATGACAATCTCAGAGAGAGCCACTTGGGACCAATGGATCCAAGCTTATCTGGCTGCTTGTTAGCCAAAACTCGACTTGAAGTTTAGTTTTTCTTCAAGTCGAAACGGTCCTATGCCAATATGTTTTCACCGCGATGACAGACAAGGGATATGGCTTGAAAACGTATCTCAATTCAGGGATGGAAGGTTTTGCTGTACTCCTAATTATCCCATTATCCAAGCCACAAAATACTGCTAGTTTTCAATTAGATTGAAATACTGCTAGTTTTCAATGAACCTGCCTTTTTCGTTACCATGCTAGCGAATGCTAAAGCAGCCTATTGGATTCCACAAGACTTCCGGCAGCTACTCCCCAACGCTATGCATCGCATTTTCATGGAATCCAATGGGCTTCTTTAGCATTAGCTAGCCTAGCATGTTGACGGAAAAGGCAGCTGAATTAAAAACTAGCAGACCGCTTTGACTTGAAGGAAGATAGTTTATTCTCTTGGCCAAATGTTATATTCATAAATGCAAATGCTGTGGGATTTTATTTATTTATTATTGAGCTTCTACAATTGTATAAATTCCAGACATTTGTGAAACATTAAAAAATATGTATACACTGAACAAAAATATAAAATGTTGATCCCATGTTTCATGAGCTGAAATAAAAGATCCCAGAAATGTTCCATATGCACAAAAAGCTTACTTCTCTCAAATGTTGTGGAGAAATTTAATTACATCCCTGTTAGTGAGCATTTCTCCTTTGCCAAGATAATCCATACACCTGACAGGTGTGGCACATCAAGAAGCTGGTTAAACAGCATGATAATTACACAGGTGCAGCTTGTGCTTGGGACAATAAAAGGCCACATTAAAATGTGCAGTTTTGTCACACAACACAATGCCACAGATGTCTCAAATTTTGAGGGAGCGTGCAATTGGCATGCTGACTGCAGGAATGTCCACCAAAGCTGTTGCCAGATAATTTAATGTTAATTTCTCTACCAAAAGCTGCCTCCAACGTAGTTTTTGAGAATTTGGCAGTACGTCCAACTGGCCTCACAACTGCAGACCATGTGTAACCACACCAGCCCAGGACCTCCACATCCAGCTTCTTCACCTGCGGAATCGTGTGAGTGGGGGTGGGTTACTGAGAAGTATTTATGTCTGTAATAAAGCCCTTTTGTGGGTAAAACTCATTCTGATTGGCTGGGCCTGGCTCCCCAGTGGGTGGGCCTGGCTCCCAAGTGGGTGAGCCTATGCCCTCCCAGGCCTACCCATGGCTGTTCCCATTCCAAGTCATGTGAAATCCAAAGATTAAGGCCTATTGAATTTATTTCAATTGACTGATTTCCTTATATGAACTGTAACTCAGTAAAATTGTTGAAATTGTTGCATGTTGCGTTTCTATTTTTGTTCAGGATAGTTTGTTTACAATATGAAGCCACTGGAGATTACCTTTAATCTTTTGTGTACACAGTGCCTTAAATCTACTCAGATGGTACATTACATGGTGCTATAAAGTTGATGAAACCCACGGGTGATAACTGGTAGAGTAGTTATTCCTACACAGAAACTATAGTTAGCGTTTACGGCGTAATAAATGTTTGTGTTGTACTGTGCATGTAGCCTCACGTTTTATTCAATGATGTATATAAACCCTGGATTGCTGATGCTGTGTGTTGGCTAATGAGAGGCTTTGAAGCTACCAGCCGCCATATAGAGCCCCACAGTGGACGTGTCATAATATCCATAAAACCTAGCGGTCAAACAAGGAAATGGTTCCAATCGTTTTTCCACCATTCATTTTTCCCATCAGAGATTTTAGAAACACTTAAAATAAGGGCAGTGTATTGTGTAGGCTTACCCTAGCGTGACATTTTGATAACCGTGTAAATCTCTCTCGGACAAGGTGACTTTTATCAATATATTCGGTTCTATTACGCTCAGATTTGAAAATGCTAATTAGCATCAAAGTAGACATCATGCAAGACTACAAATCCCTGCAAGCTCCTGCACGTCATCTTTCGCTAACACCTTTGCTAACAGGTATTGTGTCAATTTTAAACTTGCCCAAGACAGTTCAGAGAATTGTCAATTTAAGTAAATTTAGCCAATTTATGAATTACTAAATTTAGTTAACATTAGATAGTTAATCCAGAGATTCTTACCTTTGCCTCGATTCGGCAGTCTCATCCAGAGTATCGTGGAAATTGTAGTTATGTATGATAGCCACATTAGCAGCTAACTAGCATTTCATTTTTAGGGGTAAATACAGGCAAATATATTTATAAAAGTCACCTTGTCCGAGAGAGATTTACACGGTTATCAAAACATCACGCCAGGGGAAGCCTACACGAAACAAAACCCTTTTTTAAAGTGTTTCTAAAATCCCCTATGGGACAAATGAATGGTGGAAAAACGTTTTCCCTTTTTGACCACTAGGTTTTATGGGTATTATGACTCATACTGTGGTACTCTGTTGGTACTCCTCAGAAGGAGCAGTCCTCCATAGGAATGAATGGAATCCTACAGTAATTAAATAAATTGTTTAAATTACATGTATTTAAGTATGTACAGTATTTGTTGTAGTGGAGGTAGTAACATTAGTACTTTCTAAAAATGATATTTTAAGGAAAATCAAGATTTTTAGAAAGTACTAATGTATATATAAATTGTTTGTGTGTGTGTGTTCAGTTCACATAATATAATTAAAAAGTATGCATTAAGGTAAATGTGTCAAACTCATTCCACGGAGGGCCAAGTGTCTTCAGGTTTTCACTCCTGCCTTGTACGTGATTGATGAATTATGGTCACTAATTAGTAAGGAACTCCCCTCACCTGGTTGTCTAGGTCTTAATTTAATGGAAAAACCAAAAACCAGCAGACACTAGGCCCTCCATGGAATGAGTTTGACACCCCTGCATTAAGGTGTGTTTATTTTACTATGGTGTAGGGCAGGGTTCTTCAATTCCGGTCCTGGAGGGCCGAAACACCTCTGTTTTTCATCCTCTCCTTCTAATCAGGGGCTAATTCAGACATGGGACACCAGGTGAGTGCAATTAACTACCAGGTAGAAATAAAAAACAGAAGTGTTTCGGCCCTCCAGGACCGGAATTGAAGAACCCTGGTGTAGAGGTTCAGAAATGGCTTTGCAGTGACTTCAAAACAGTGCCTCTTGTCATTTGTTTTATTAGGTGACTTCATTTTATACAAGAGTGTAGAAATCATCACTGTTTAAAATAAAAAATAAAACATGAGCCATTTCAGCTCATTGCTTGATTTTCCATGAAATAGAGCAATTTGTATTCAGTGGTGTACTGCAGTTTCTCTGGACCCCCTGCAAGGTCGGAGTATGTACCCCTCCCAACCTAAAAAAAACCTAACAGATTTAATGCGTCAGCCACTCAATCACAAAGTAAGTATAATTTCAAAAGGGGGGGGGGGGGGGTGCGTGTGGTACGCCAATATTTGTATTGTTTCAAGCAATGTTCCCTCTAATATTTTTTGCCACTAGCAAATTTCAGGTCTGCTGAGTGCAAACTTGTACCTTGTGAAATTTCTATGCAACTTCCGGCGTGCGTTTACTGTGAACACTGAGGCTGTACCCACTTGAATGTATTGTTTTAACAGTGACCAAGTAGACTACTATCAGTTTAGAAGGAACAGGTCAGTTTAGAGGGAACAGGTCTCAAGTATTGTGTTTACAAGGCTTATTGTTTTCTAAGACAAGAGACAGCATACTAGGCTTCTTTTATCATAATACACTTCATGCGGTGAAATTAGAAAAGAGACACAGCACTAGCTGCCCGTTTCCATGGCGACGTTGTCAAACACCCTGCTTGCTGCAGAAACCAGACAGCTGTTAGCTAAGCTAACCTCTGTTTTTCAATGTAATTTAATAAAATAGCAAATATGGAGTTCACAGGTAGCAGTTACACTGGAGCCTTCAAGAATGGCAGGTAAATGAATAACTATTTTTCCAATAGAAATGTTGCAAACCGCCCTACGTGTCATGTGACATAACGTTAGCTCGCTAACGCGTTAGTAGTAATGGGTAGCTAGCTAGCTTGCAACAGTTCTGGCACAAGTTGAAATCCATTGTCGTTCTCATCTCACCACTGGTGAATTAGCAATGCCCTTTGCTCTGTTCCTCAGGATGGAGGGAGAAGGAGAGTATAAGTTCCCCACAGAGACAAGATATGTTGGGGAGATGAAGGATGGCATGTTCCATGGAAAAGGTGTTCTCTATTTTCCAAATGGAAGCAAATATGAAGGAACTTGGGATAAAGGCATATCCAAACAGGTGTGTAGCATACTTTCTGTGATTGTGTGATTGTGTGTGTGTGTGTGTGTGTGTGTGTACACACCTCCATGCCTGTGTAGGTCTATGTGTGTGTGTTTCACATTGGCTATAGTGGACATTACATCTGGTCCCCTTTAGCAATCATTCACTTTCATTGTCGCAGTTATTCAGTTTCTATACCTCTCCTCCAACATGTGCTCTCTGCATGTTCCACACAGGAAAGACATTCCTTTTTGGTCAACCATTCATTCATGCGTATCTCAGCCCTAATAGTAACCAGTTCAATTATTATCATGATTACTGTGGTCCATTAGATATGATCTAGGTTTAGCAAGCCCATGACCAAACACACCTCACTCCCAGCCAGCTCAGACCTCTCTTTGTAATATGGAACATAGACCTCTCAACAAATGATGCACGATTAAAAGACCATTCAACCATATTGACATACTTAGTTAGACCTATGCTGTGGTGAAATGTAATTCCCCAATCCAAACAGAATTGAAGTGGTGAAAAGTTTGTCTATGTTTTTTGCCTAATATCCCTTTTTTGCCGTTAGATACAAGTTTCAAGTTTACGACTAAATAAAGACAGTTTGTTACAGGATACTACAGTGTTTCATCACTGAAACCACAAAGTGTTTAATCCACAGGGAAAGTATACCTTCTCTGATGGGCTGGAGTACCAGGGGAAGGACTGGGAGTTCTGTGATGGTTATGACAGACAGTTCTACACTGAGAGGTGCAATGGACTCAAACCTGCAGGTAAAACATTCACTTATTTTTCTGTGAAAATCTACCTTTTTTACAAACAGACTAAATCCTCAAATCCTGAAGTATTAGGATAATAATCTATTCAGTCTCTATACCATAGCAATGGAATATAACATATAATCTCAATGGGTTTTACCACAATCTGTCTTTTTTTTCTTCAAATTCAGTCACATTGCTTTTTGTTGTTTGTCTCAAGACTTGATCAGTCACTGACTCTCTGTCTATCTGTCCTGGCAGGGGAGTCTCAGCTGACAGACCTGGACCCGCCGCGTGTCATCCCAGATGGCTGCTATGACTGTGGGGACGGCTTCTACGACCCCAACACCAGGGTCATCACTGACTATGAGCATGACTTCCTGAGGAACGCAGGTGAGCGGAGACTGTTGGAGCTCACGTCAAGGGTTTTGACACAGAGAGAGTGAGAACATATCCAGGCATATTGTATCACATATATTTCTGACCTCCAGCTCATTAGAGTGTGCAGTAACCTCCGATTTTCCAATACCAAGTTTGACTTTGTCTTTTATCTTAATTTATCAAATTTTTCTGAAATGGATGAATTCCTTTATCATAATGTTCAGGGCAAATAGTAGCCCATCAATAAGCTCTGGCCACGTGGGAATCATTTGATAATAAAAACGGATAAAATACTATAAATGGATTACCCAGATTCTCTAAAAGAAGATTATTGCAGTCAGATACTTTGCTGAGGCTGCCTTATTACCCTATAACTCATCATCTGTAGTCCTCTCTGCCAAGCGTGCCTCTCCACTGCAGTCATTTTAGTTTTGTTTTCAAAGGGAACATTTTAAACACATTTTTTTCCACCACATTGAGTGCCTGATGTGGGATCTTTGATTTGAAGGCAACGAGGTCTGTCAGGTTTTGAGATAGGAATTCCAACTGCCGTGCCAGTTTTTCATTGTTTTTGCATCACCAGACAATGTCATGGATTACGAACGGTTATGGATCTAATCGTCTCTCTGTGAATGGGATGGATGGGGGTGTATCTATGGGAGACGGCCCAGCTATGATGTCATCGTCTGTCTTGTGAAATAATAGACGCACTATATTCTATCTCTTGCCATAGGTTGCAGCCAAGCTGGCATTCTTTGGAAACTGTGAATGTGTGTATAGGCTTAGACTATATACAGTTGAAGTCGGAAGTTTAAATACACTTAGGTTGGAGTCATTAAAACTCGTTTTTCAACCACTCCACAAATTTCTTGTTAACAAACTATGGTTTTGGCAAGTCGGTTAGGACATCTACTTTGTGCATGACACATGTAATTTTTCCAACAATTGTTTACAGACAGATTATTTCACTTATAATTCACTGTATCACAATTCCAGTGGGTCAGAAGTTTACATACACTAAGTTGACTGTGCCTTTAAACAGCTTGGAAAATTCCAGAAAATTATGTCATGGCTTTAGTAGCTTCTGATAGGCCAATTGATATCATTTGAGTCAATTGGAGGTGTACCTGTGGATGTATTTCAAGGCCTACCTTCAAACTCAGTACCTCTTTGCTTGACATCATGGGAAAATGAAAAGAAATCAGCCAAGACCTCAGAATTTTTTTTGTAGACCTCCACAAGTCTGGTTCATCCTTGGGAGCAATTTCCAAACGCCTGAAGGTATCACATTCATCTGTACAAACAATAGTACGCAAGTATAAACACCGTGGGACCACGCAGCCATCATACCGCTCAGGAAGGAGACGCGTTCTGTCACCTAAAAAAAAGTGCAAATCAATCCCAGAACAACAGCAAAGGACCTTGTGAAGATGCTGGAGGAAACAGGTACAAAAGTATCTATATCCACAGTAAAACAAGTTATATATCGACATAACCTGAAAGGCCGTTCAGCAAGGAAGAAGCCACTGCTCCAAAACCGCCATAAAAAAGCCAGACTACGGTTTGCAACTGCACATGGGGACAAAGATCGTACTTTTTGGAGAAATGTCCTCTAGTCTGATGAAACAGAAATAGAACTGTTTGGCCATAATGACCATCGTTATGTTTGGAGGAAAAGGGGGATGGCTTGCAAGCCGAAGAACACCATCCCATCCGTGAAGCACAGGGGTGGCAACATCATGCTGTGGGGGTGCTTTGCTGCAGGAGGGACTGGTGCACTTCACAAAATAGATGGCATCATGAGGAAGGAAAATTATGTGGATATATTGAAGCAACATCTCAAGACATCAGTCAGGAAGTTAAAGCTTGGTCGCAAATGGGTCTTCCAAATGGACAATGACCCCAAGCATACTTCCAAAGTTGTGGCAAAATGGCTTAAGGACAACAAAGTCAAGGTATTGGAGTGGCCATCACAAAGCCCTGACCTCAATCCTATAGAAAATGTGTGGGCAGAACTGAAAAGGCGTGTGCGAGCAAGGAGGCCTACAAACCTGACTCAGTTACACCAGCTCTGTCAGGAGGAATGGGCCAAAATTTGTTAAACAATTTAAAGGCAATGCTACCAAATACTAATTGAGTGTATGTAAACTTCTGACCCACTGGGAATGTGATGAAAGAAATAAAAGCTGAAATAAATCATTCTCTCTACTATTATTCTGACATTTCACATTCTTAAAATAAAGTGGTGATCCTAACTGACCTAAGACAGGGAATCTTTACTAGGATTAAATGTCAGGAATTGTGAAAAACTGAGTGTAAATGTATTTGGCTAAGGTGTATGTAAACTTCCGACTTCAACTGTACACATCCACAAAAAAAAATACAAAATATGATATGAAAGTGTATATTTATGATTGCCTTTGATCAGCCTGCCACAAACACAGGTGTATGAATATGGATGATCACTGACAGGTAGGCAGTGGTTTATGATGTACTAGTGGTCCCAGCCAGACCATGACAGGCAGGCAGTGGCTTTAGAATTTACTAGTGGTGTAACAAGTGTGTAATAAGAAATATGTTCAGATTTTCCCCTCTTTGGGTCCTTCATAACAGTTCTGGTGCAGCGGTCTAAGGCACTGCATCTCAGTGCTAGAGGCGTTACTACAGACCCTGGTTCGATTCCAGGCTGTATCACAATCCGGCCGTGATTGGGAGTCCCATAGGGTTGCGCACAATTGGCCCAGCATTGTCCGGGTTTGGCCGGGGTAGGCCGTCATTGTAAATAAGAATTTGTTCTTAACTGACTTACCTAGTTAAATAAAGGTCAAATACTTTTTTATTTTTTATTGATCAATGAAACGGAGGGGAGGAAGACAGTGTTGAAGGAGAAAGAGGAGCAGCTGTAAAAACAGAGTTGTTCCAATCATCTGATACAGATCCATTTGGTCTGTCTGCTGTTTGTACTGCGTTTTGGTAGGGCATCTTTACACAGGAAATCTTTGATTGATTGATTTAGCAGTGTACCGCAGACGGTCTTGGGTGTTACAGCTAGGGCTGTGGCAGTGACAAAATTTCGTCAGCCGGTGATTGTCAAGCAAATAACTGTCGGTCTCACGGTAATTGACCGTTAATTAACATAAACACATTTAGCATCTCCTGGCTTCCACACATAGCCTACAAGACATTTGAAAAAGTCTAATAAATCCATGTAATATAGCTTACACCTTCACAATAAATCCATTGTTTATTTTAGATAGGTCTAAAGCAGCATGATATGAAGAAAATGTAGTTTATTTCAGAAGAAAATAATAGCATACTCTGAGTTGTCCTTATTTTAGGTCCTGATCTGGCTATGCCATATGGCTGTGGGCTACACTAGTTCATTTAGCAGACAAGATTTGCTTATAATTCCGTGTCATTATTTTATATTATTTGATAGTATGAAGAATACAATTGAACAAAGCTGAATAAAATATAAATATTTTCTCCAAATGATTTGAGGGAGTGCGCACATAGGGCTATTCTGTGTTGAGCGGATAACAAAGAAATAGGTACTCCTATATGCTTAATTTAGAGTTATTCATGTAACTTTAGTTGTTCTACAAACGTTGGGCTATATGTTTTGATTTTTAATACATTGTAAGGCTGCATGATGAGACTCAAATGATGATTTGAAAAAAGTTGCTTGAAAGTCATGAGCTCTGCTTTGTTTTTTGCGCAGGCTGTACACACTCCAATAGTGTCTCATTCACAATTTGACAAGCACTTGATAATGCCTCGAATTTCACGGCGGCATCCCCTTTGTGGCCGTAATGCACCCTAAAATAATCCATGGCTTTTGAGGCCCAGAGTGCTGCGTTGTGCCCTTCTCCCTGAGTGTGCTGCGCAATCCGAAACGTCTCTCACTTACACGACTCTCCGTCACATGATCGGGTCTTTCTCACAGGCTAAAAGTTAAGACTGACACATCGGGGACGCAACTGCATGAAGATGTTGGAAGAACTGTCCATATTTACTTTTTGTCAGCCAACAAGATGAGTAGGCCTAACGAACAGCAAAAGCACTAGCCTATGTCAATCTACTATCCCCCATAGTACAAAAGTCGACCTATTCTATTCTGTGCGAGAAATAAATATTCCAAACATAGTCTGGGACAGTTGTGGGATGTGATAGATTACAAATTAATACAACCACTAGCTTCAAAAAAAACTTTTTTATGCAATGTGGCTGACGCAACAGATCAGAACGTTTAGCTTAAAATGTTGATAAACTATTAGGCTATTTCTTCACATTATAAGCGCAGCAATGCGCACACAGTAGTAGGTTATAAGTGCAAATGTTTCCATTAGTGGAAAACACCATTATCAAAAGTGACCGCAAATGCAATTATGCATGTAATACTTTTATTATAAAGGTGCATTTTTATGGTGAAAATGATCTTCCCCAAACTTGAAATTCATACGCTGCTTATATATGCCAGTTAGGCTCTACACCCCTTGTAAAGCGGATGAATGTGCTTAATTTTAAGAAGTTATATGGCCACTTTAGTTGTGATACTAACAGAACATATAGGCCATGGGCTAGGCTACATGAGGTGTGCGACTATGATTAGAAATAGTTGCAAAAAAAAGCATTGTTTCTTATGCTGGGCATCATTCACAAGTGATAATATATAATTCACAAGTGGTAGGCTAATATTGTCACCCATCAGACTATTCTTGATTTAATCTTGTCTTTACTAAATAATATATGTGTGACATTTGTTTTGATTTAGAATGGACCATTATCATGCACCTTTATCAAAACAGGGGCAGCGGGAAAACATACATGTCATCTATGCGCTTAAATAGCACTTAAATTGTTTATTTTCATGCCAGCCAGGTAGGCTATACTCCTGTTGTAAATATAAGCAATGTGATTTAATATTAGGAAAGTTGAGAAATAAATATAGTAGGCCTAGCCTATAGAAAGCTTTTTAATCACTCTGTTTTCTCACGCAATTGTATAGCCTATAGAAATGTTGCGCAACATGAGCTCATGGGCTCTCATGAAGTGTTTGATTAGA